AATGAAGTGAAATGCAATGAAATGAAGTGAAATGCAATGAAATGAAATGAAATAGATGAAATGAATGAATGAATGAATGAATGAATGAATAAATAATTAAAATAAACTAAAAAAAGAGAGTTAGGAATTCAAAACACAATATTTTCTTTGTTATTCATTGGTTTTGCGAATACTCTTGAATATTTGTTTTAGTTTATTAATTGTAAACCTTTATAAGTTTTCAAAATCAATCAGTATTCCCTCAATAACACATTGACAAAATCACTTCTGGATAAGGTCATTTTGTGTCATTATTCTAGCAGGTAAAAGTAAATAATAAATGACAAAAAATTGGAGTACTATGAATTCCTTTTCGACTTTCATTCGATTTAAAACAAAATTATCTACAAAAAACTATGAAAATGTTTAAGTGCCACTACGATAACATTTCTGGCTTGCTTTTTTTGCTTGGATTGAAAGACTTTTGATAGTGAAGTGAAATTTCACTTCCCTTTTTCAAATATCTCGTTTCCTTCAAAAAGATATTGGAGTTTTAAATACGCACGGCTGTTTCAAATCGGAATTTTAATCCGCTGACTAAAAGTATGGCTTACGCTATTCTTGCGTAAAACTATATATCATATTACGAGAAGCGTGGAAACAGTGACAGCGACGAAACTCTCGATTATGAGAGCGAATAATTATATATTTAACTTTAAAAAAATAAATAAAAACTTTAACTTCTATTAACAAATCAGTTTATATATCACACGATTATTTTTCTATTTCTTAAGTGTATCATATCATTAACTTGAATTTTATTTAAATATAAACATGTACTAGTACATAAGATGATTGTGAATGAGCGATAATATCCCGTAAAGTATATATACCGGGCGCAACAAGTTTGAGAAATTGATGACACATCTATTCGTACAATCTGTTCAGATCTTTTCAAAAAGACCTTTTCTATGGGTTAAAGTTCTTGTTTTCTAAGATAAGCTTTCGCTAGAAGCAAAACACGGCATTAAAATTTGAAAAACATTGCACATATTGGCACTACACGGGCTTACCCATAAAATCCCTTCTCGATACTGGGAGTTCTAAGGAGCATGGAAAAAAATCTCCATGTTAGCCCACAGAACGATTTTTCAACTTCAATCTACGACCCCTCTAGTAAATGTAGTTCTTCTAGTTCATGCGAACTCGATGCGCCCGATCTCCTTCTCGATTCAACAAGGCTTAAATCACTTCTATGAAATTTGATCGGCTTTAATATTAAATTATTTACCATATATGGTAAATAGTTTAATATTAACTCGCAACAATCTTCGCGCATGACATCTAGCATACATTGCTAATTCGGGCATTTGAAACAGTCGTGAACAGCAGTTAAAGGAAACTTTGAGTTGAGAATATGACGTCATTAACCACCTAATTAGCATAAATTTAAAACTTGTATATCTCTCGGACCAAAAATACTTACAAGAAATTGGAAAATACTTTAATACGGCTGTATGAAACATTATGCATTGCATGCGAGTTCGCCTTTTGAAATCCCGCGGGAAGTATGCGCAGTAAGTGTGCGCGCTAGAATTAATGGCCTCTGTCCTTAAAGGTGATGTTACACGCGACGATTTTCAGCGTCAATTTTGCGTTGCGTTGCCAACTGCTAATACATGTTACATCACGAGCCGTTTTTTTGCGCAACATTCCTACGAATTGAACATGTTACACACGACAATTTTTTGCGATTTTTAAATGGCAATTTCGATCCCAGCTCCCCAGCCGCACAGTGTAACGAATCAAAACAAACAGTGTGTTCAAATTGAAACACTTCCACGACCTCTTTTAAAGCTTGTTTTTCTATATCTTTTGTTTGCTTGTCATGTGGAGACCACAGACAAGGCTATGCTTCGATGAACGATATTAAATTCAGACGTGCTGCATTATCTAAGCGGCTCTGGTCAACTAACAATTCATCGACATCTCACAAATTTTCGTCTTCTTCAATTACCGCCGCCATCTTGTTTGTTGACATCAGCCCTGTCCTTGAACTGCATTCTGGGTAGGTGTTGTACGAAAAATTGTCGACGAAGCTGTTACAGGCATAAACTTGGAGAAAATTCGTCTTTTCTTGTTGTGAGTTTTTGAAGGAGAATCAAAAACTCGCAACGTGTTGCCGTATCCGAAAATCTAGGTGTGCGGTGTGTTAAACGCATCATTTTTTTGCGTAACGGCGTATCGCGAAAAACCGACGCGAAAAATCGTCGCGTGTAACATCACTTTAAGGTGGCTGGACCCCCTCACGCTTGACCGCTACCTTCCACTTTTGGAACGCTGGTGCATAAACGTGTTTTATCCGATTGCAAATCTTTTTTGCACATAAGTCACATAAAGATTGAATTAATGTTTGATGAAATTTTTAAGGAGATCGGACGTCATAACACGTGATTATGATGAAATATTTGTTTTCGTTTAGAAAATAATTTTAGCCTTGCAGAGCGTTCAACACTAAAATGCTTCGTACCACATAATTATATACTAGATGCCTCCATTTGTAGGGATTTTAGAAAAAATCTATCTAGCTAATTATGAGATATTTGAGATACACAGTTTTTTTATTCAAACGTGGAACGTTTGTCACAGCTGTGTATTACCATGCTTCGGGAGTAAGTTTAACTTAACTGAGAAATAATCTTATAAGAAAAAAATGTATTCGTTGTTTCTCTTTTTTTTTTTCGATTAAATATTTCTCCTGTTATGACTTCCCTTATATGTTTACTCCACTTTCAAAACCATTCTTTAAAAAAAGGTAAAAATACAAATTGATTCTCACCTTTGGTTGTGCTTGTGCTAAGATGGACTGTAAAGCGACAGCTACTACAAATGTGACCAGCAAGACCCTAGATCTACACATTTTATATTTACTCCTATTTTAAATGACACTTGTGAACCTAGAAAAGTAAAACGAGAAAAATTAATTAACCTACAAAATTGGCATCCAGAAAATTGTTTTGGTATGGGCATGTTTCCATATGCATTTGATTAATTTATTTACGCATGCGCCAGATTCAGTTCGGCTGCTTAACTCTGAGCTTCGTCATTTCATAGTTAATAGAGGGAAACAGGGGCGCCGAAACCGGGGGGGCTGGGGGGCTTTTTTCACCATGCACAATCCTTTGTATTACCATTGTATTACCATTGTTGGCAATGGCTGAGTGAACAGACAAAAATCTTTCTTTTGACTGCTAGTTCAAAGTACTTAAAGATTCGTAAGAGATATCAATCAACAATCCAATACACAAGGTTGATGTTTACTTATTTTGCAATTTCGGATAAGCATAAATCAAACATTGTGCATGGTCAAGACCGGTTCAACATCAAAAGCGAACAGAGACCCATAACAATAGGTTTCCTAACCATTTCCCTCTATTAACTATGGTCATTTCTGTATTTGTTTAGTCTTTTTTAGTTTCATTAGTTTTATAGTTTTATAGATTTTATATTCATTTTATATTTGACGAAATATTGTAGTCTCCCTTTCTTGGTTCAACAAAATGTTTAATTCATAAATTCTGGCAGAAAGAGTTATCACATCTAGGAAAACTTCAACTTGTCTCAAGGCTAGGATCTCAATACTACTCTGAAATGAAGTCGGGGACGTGGCGCTGGTCTTCGTTGTTTTAATTCGTCTACTGAATCGAATTACAAGTTTCTATTTTCTTTGCAACTGGATAACTCACTAAATATTCAAGAAAGTACTTCAATATCGTCAACAATAACACAAGTCTACGAACCAAATAACTCAACAACAATGCTGAATAATGAATCCATTCATAAGATCTGTACCATTTTGCGTTTGTCATCTTAGTCGCCGGGTATGTGCTTGCGAGGATGCCTATCTTTCCAGTTAGGAAGCGAGTTAGGAAGCGAGTTAGGAAGCGAGTTAGGAAGCGA